CGAACCAAATAAATGAATCTTTGGAGAGAAGAAAGTTAAAAATGAAGCAAGTGCTTTCAGATGCTGAAAGGAATAGAATGGAGTACTTTCTTTTACTTCTCCAGCGGATTTCCTACTTATTCATTTCTAGGAGTATTGAGAATTTTAAATTTAAATACATGTGGTATACATTAATAGAGCAAAAAAGGTCATTTTAAAAAGTGGGAATTATTTTCCTCCAAATAGAGCTAGATGTTGTATGAATATATTTTCTTTAGTGTGATTCGTTTCAATGTGGATCTATAATTAATACTTTTAACATAAGGACACCCCCCATTTATCCTGAAATCTAACATCTTAAATATTGATTTTTCTTTTCTCTTATTTTAAAAAAACATAGATGAAAAATAAACCTCTAATGATTACTGTTAGAAAAATTATACTCAATGTTTATTTTACTAGATAAACTTCTGTTTACCATTGCAGTCTGAGTGGAGGTGAATTTAAACTTAAAAAGCAACAGCAGAGCCTTCATATCTCTTGGTCTTCTTTTTCAAATTAGTTTCTTGCCCCCTTTTCAGAGGCTGCAGTTGCTTTTACTGAACCCATTGAAGGAGATGTCCAGTATTAACCATCCAGATATCCGGCTCAAGCAATTAGAATGTGTGTTGCAGATTCTCCAGAGTCAGGGAGACAGTCTTGGGCCTGGATGGCCATTAGTGCTAGGAGTCATGGGAGCAATCAGAAATGATCAAGGGTAAGTGTTTAAAATTAATATCTAAAAGTGATAGAAAAAGGGACTCCATCCTAAAGTCTTACAGTAGTGTTAATTTTTTATGTATGCCCTTCCTGCTTAAGTTTAAGATCTAGAATAGTTTTTATTAACCTTATCCCCAGGAGGCTACAGGGAATTATTAGGGCTCACCTTTGTGTTGGAAGAATGGAAAAATTTCTGTTTAATGACATTTATACTAGAATACAGTGTTCTTATAATAATATAAATGTATCAATCTAACAAACTTTATAACACATCCAAAGATTGAGCTTTCTTTTTTTAAATATTTGGTAAGATCTGACCTCTCTGCATATATTAGGAAGTCTAAGAAATTGCTTTTAAGTGACTTTTTTCGTTCATTTGTTCATTTGTTAAACATTTACTCTGTGCCTAATA